TGAACTCCTTGTACACCCATTCTTTGCAAGGTCCAACGTTAAATCATGCCCGCGGGGTTGGCTTTGCGTTGAAGTAAGTTGGGGCGGGAACAGATGCGAATGCTTCGTTGCCTTGATGAGCCAATGGCCAGATTCACTCAGATGCCTTAGTTGAGGCAATCGGGTACAGGGAGAAAAGCTATCGGCCAAACAAAACGAGTCGTAGGCAACACGGGATGCGGTCGTTGATGGAGTACGTCGACGTTGGAAGTGGAACACGCTGATAGGCCACGCGGTCTTTGTGTTGTCAACATTGAACAGCCACAGGACACTAGATCAAAATTATCAAACGGCCAAAGTAGACGGTTGTCGATAAAAAAAAGAATAAACAGCTGGCTGGAAGAACGGCACGGTCGATGGGCGATGGGCGATTTGGGTGGCTTGCGTGTCTTGGTCTTTGTCGACAAGAACAAGTTGGCCCTCTCCCTTCCCCCTCCCCCTCTGGAGTTGGAGGCGGTGGAGGGGATCGTCATCAATGGCATGGATTGTGGCTGTAGACACTGTGGCAACGGGTGAGACATCTGCGACACAGTACAGTGCGGATGGCGGAGCTCGTGAAACGACTTGACTGGGGCTTCTGCCTCCGCCGCAGCAGGGTGCTTTGAAAGTGTCCGGTTCTAACTCTGGACTCACCAACAAGGTTGCTGGGGATGTTCCGATTAACAAGCAAGCACGAGGTCAAGGTCTGCCTAAAACAGTCATGACGGGTTGGTTGACCCGTTGATACAGGCCCAAAAGATCCAACGCCACGGTTAGCATGTCTGAGGCGGGGCTTCCTGGCGGTGCAAGGAACACAGAGAGAGCTTGAGCCACGCATGACATTTTAGCCCCCCCAAGCAGCGTGCAAATGCACCGAGCAAAGACGCAGGGTGAAACAAACCGGAAATGTCGAGCAAAGCAGCTGAGCCTCATGGTTCGTACTCCGTACCTCGGTGGTCGGCGGCCGGCAGTTGCTGCAACAGCCACCTTTGATGTGCATTCGGCTTCAATTCGAAAAGTTGACAGTACGCATGACCACTCCGTAAAATGCCGAAAGTGTAAGTGCCTACCTACCGGTAGCTGCCGCACGTGCTTGACCTGCCCAAAGCCGCCGATGCTTCGGCTGTCGGACCAGGTTTAGGCGTCGAAGCCCAGCTCCGCCTCAGCCACTGTGGCTAACAATGTTAAGCGTCCAAATCCACCTGCGCCGTTGAAGATCCGCAACATAGGTTCAACATCAACACCTCGGCAGTTACCATTATATACTATATACTTCGTACACCGCACGCGATCGATCAATCAATCAATCACAAAATGAATACTGTGAGCGAAGCCCTATCGGACTCTTGTCCAATCGCCTCCTATTCAGCATTAACATTATGCCAATAGGTTAAGTCTTTCTGGTTTGTTCCGTCCGCCGATTCCCGAGCTTCCTCGCAAAACTACTAACACCATCTTTCATTTAGGCTGGGCTGGGGTTCCCTCTGTGTTGGTAAGGTTCAACATTTGATTTTCCCCCCACGATTATAACCCACTAGCACACCATCTAACGCGAGATTTCGTCTTTCCCAATTGCAGCCGGCGCAGGCGCATACTACTTTGCCAAACGAGAAATCAACGCCGACCGTCAGGCCAAGCTTCAAGCCGCGCGCAAGAAGAGGGAAGATCTTCGATCGCTAGAGTATTCCGGCCCCGGGTCGACATCTTCATCGGTCACCAACGGTAACGGCGCCCCTGCCATCACAGACACAGCTGGCTCGCCGAGCCAAGAGGCGGGCAATGATCCGGCTGCGACAAGACATGCTGCGGTGACAGAGTCGCAGCAGACGCGGGAGAAGAGCAAATATGAGAGTTCCACACCGTATAGGAGTCCGAAAGGTGATCGGTTTTCATAACATACAAGACGTGAGCGTAAAGCGGCAGTTGACGGTCAGATAGCCGTAGGGGGCGTATCGCAGACTGGCTGTTTTGTGTATTGGAAATATCGGCTAGGGGGGAAGCTTGTATGATACGTGCTGCACCTTTGAGTTATACATGAACACTTATTCTGCCAGTATTTCTCAGTTCTTTAAGTTTCTTCCATATAGGAAGGGGGAAGAGGGGGGAATTCGTGACCACACGTTTCCTGATCGTCGACTTTCCTCCTCCCATTATATCAAGTGACGGCTCACACTACCTGGCTTCAATGGCGGCCCAAATCGGCTCAATAAAGACATTGCTCATTTACCAAGAATCTAGCAATCAACCAACCCCTCTACTACCCGACCTTGATGAGAAAACCGCAAAATTTTGCACCATATCTCCTACAACTGGAATCAGGCCACGCCCCACAAACCAGTACCTCATTGGTCAAACCACCGTCAAGCTACAAGACCGAAAACACCATCGTAAAGCTGCCAGCTCCCAACGTCCCATTTCAAGCTTCATCGTCGACTTCGCCATCCACCAACTCCCCGCACACCATGGCGACTCCCGAACTAACCATCGCCAAAGCTGCCCTATCAGCATCTCTCTTCCGCGCCGACCCAGCATCCATCAGCCGTCCCTCAGTCGACACTTTCTTTCAACAAGTCACTTCAACACTGACGCAGTGCTCCCGCCCCAATGTCCAGGTTTGCACTAAGCCACCCTTCGAGAAGTTTTTTGTCCCCGCCCTCGTGTAGGCGGATAAAACAAAGAGAAAAACTGTTTCTCGGTGCTTTCCTCGTAGCCATGCTAAAATCGTGTCTCTTGAAATCGCCATACAGACCTGCAAAGACTACATCCTCAGCAACATAATCCACTCTAGTGGTCGAAGCACCGCTCTTGCAAAGTATCTCGTCGCCCTGTCAAACGCACAAGTCGATGACGCGGCACACCCTCGTCCCAGCACAAAACGCCGCCGTCTACACGTACTCTACATTGTCAACGACGTGCTGTACCACGCTGCGCGCCAGGGAAACCAAGACTTCCGTACCACCGTGGAAGCGTACCTCCCTCCGCTAATCAGCGCTGCCGCCTCATTCGAGAAATGTCCGAAACACATCAAGAAGCTACAAAACCTCGTTTCCATATGGAAATCAAAACAATACACTTCCGATGCTGTGATCCCCAAACTTGAAGAAGCCCTCGCCGGGTCGACCGTCTCCGCAACCCCAGAACCGGTCAATACGTCTCTCAAACTCGCCAAGGAGGCGCCCTTCATACTGCCATCTTTCCACGGCGACACATCGACAGCATGGTACGATTTACCGGCAGCCACGTGGCTGCCTCACCTGGTGCCGAATTCCACAAAACCAATGCTCCCAGATCTCATTCGTCCAATTCAACTCGCCCCAGGGCCGGCGGACAATGTCGTCACAGCTGCGGTAAAGGCGTTGCTTTCCGATGCGGAGAGAATCTTCTCCCGCGACAGAAGACCAGACGACGCGCACATCGACGTGAATGAAATGGGCGAGAGGATCGTATTGGATGAAATCACGGGTGAAGTCATTGGCGGAGAAACGTACTACGGCTGGTCCAGACGGTTCTGCGAACGAATGAAGGACCGCAGAAAAGGCAAACAAAGAGGTCGATCCGAGTCTCCATCTTCAGCGCGCAGCTATTCGCGCAGCCGCCGCTCTTCATCACGATCCTTCAAACGCAGGCGCATGTCACCTTCCAGAAGCCGCAGCCGCAGCCGCAGCCGCAGCAGAAGCTACACACCCCGATCAGCCTCGCGCTCGCGCTCACGCTCGCGATCACGGTCACGAACCCGCAGCCGCCGCAGATCCTACAGCAGCAGTCCCCATCGCGGCTCTCCGAAACCATCTCCCCAGCCAACCGCCAACCCCAATATGCCATTCAACATGCCCATACCTCCCCTACCGGCAGGATACACAGGTCCCTGGCCGCCACCGCCTCCTCCCCTCCCTCCACAAGGTTGGGTGCCAGATCCTGCCTTTGCAGCTCAGATGATGGGTGTGTGGAACGGGCAAGCTCCCCCGCCACCTCCACCAACAGCCCAAGCCCAAGCACAATATAACAATTATAATCAACGGGGGGGATATGACGGGTTTAGAGGCCGGGGACGGGGATACTACCGAGGCGGTGGAAGGGGCTACAATAGAGGGAGATAGTGCCAAATCCCGAGGATGATGATCAATATAGATAGATCCGGTGACATTGTGCCTTGTCACGATTCAACAATAAAATAGCCCACACGGTGCAGAATAAGAATTCTCAACAGTGGTGAACAATGTCATCAAAAGCACAACATAGTCCTCACAATAACAGGTAGGAAAAGTCTATTGGAATATCACCAGCCGTCTACAAAATAGCAACGAAGCCAGCCACCCACAGCCTACACTTCTCCGTGCTACCTACATTTCCTGCGCCCCTTTGCTTTCCCCATCCGAACAAGGGTGTTTTGGCACAACTCCTCACGCCTCATGTGCTTCCAATCACTTTTTCCCGACACAAAGTCAGAAGATCGAAATAAAACAGAGGCAAAAATGCGAGAACAATGCCAAACATGCCAGTTTGATGCAAATTCTCAAGCGCTTTTCTTTTGTTCCACTCAACCATGGATCCAATTTGCAAATGTGGAAAAAAGTGTAAGAAAAAAATAAAGTAATAAAAGGAGCCCTGCAATCCCCCAATCCCCTAGGGACGTCCCTTTTCTGGTAGTTGATTGGGAGAAGGCGCACCGTAGAACGAATTAATGTCCGCACAATCACCGGAACAAAGGACAAAGCCGGATAAATATGTTGCAAAATGTGTCATGATAGCCGTAAAAGAGGAAGGGGCAGCATGCAACTGCCCCCATCAAGTTCTGTTCGTGTTGTTGGTATGCCCCAGGAAACTACCGTAGCATCATCTCCAGGTATATCAGCTAAGGCAATGTAATTTTCCATGGAAAATTACCAGATTTCCCGCGATATATGGCCATCGCGATATCAACTGATCTTTTAGATGGCGAAGGCAGGATGTTCTTGCAGAAATATGACCGGGAAACGGGATGATCATCTGCTTCGAGCAGAGCTCTGAGAGTTCTGTCGTTCGTGGCCACCAGGCCGTCTACCGGCAGCATCCTGTAGCTTAAGTGAATCAAGCCGCTTCTGGTTATCCTCGGTAACAGGGTCTACTTCATCCACCCTTGACAAAACCCCGCCAACTTGCGGTCGTGAAGGGGCATCAGAAACACCGCCAGATACTCGTCGCTGATCAGCCTTCTCTGCTAAGGCAGCCCACTTGCGTTCTCGGAGTGCCTCGCGCTCAGCTGCACTATTTTGCTGCTCGGTGTAGTCGTGAGAGCAATCATCAAACAGCTGAGGGTTGATTTCCATGAATAGCTTCATAGCATTATAAACCATTCCGTGAATCGTCCTGGCAGGGTGATTAGCATAAAAACAAAAACAAGGCAATATAGTACGCCTCCCCAATCAATGGTTCATACCTATTCCAGTGACCCTTAGAATTCTCGTAGAGCGGCGCAAACATAATGGGCAGAATTATTTCCACGTTGTCACTGACAAGATTGCAGAAGTACTCGTTGTTCCAGAAGTAAAGCGCGCGTTCTGCGACCTGGAAGTGAGGGCTGGCCACGGACTTGGCGAGTTGATGGAACAGCGGTTCCTGGACCTTGGCGAATTCGGCCGGGTCCATGACTTCGAAAATGTCTTCAACCTCGTTCAGAAACATGACTTCTTTGGTGCTATTGACTTTAGGCCAGTATCGAAGTAGGCCAAGAACAACCTGGAGAGTAAACACACGCATTAGTCTACATGTCAGTAGCACAAGGAGACGAATAATAGGCCACATACATCTTCAGTAAGAGACGCATCTTTCTCCAAAAATTGTACAATACAGTAGGCCAGCTGCGGATGGTACATGCTCAAGCTCTTAGGCTTGTGCAAAGGAAGCAAGACGCGGGTCAGGAAGATCTTGTGTTCTTCCTTTAGTGGCAGGGCAAAGCCGTTGATAATAGATCCCAAAATCTCGAGTAGTTCGGCAATGCCGTTGAAGCGCTCCGTCTCGTACGTAAATTGGAAGAAGACATTGTTGATGGATCGGCGGATGAAAGATCGGAGGTTGAGGAATTTACCATAAATACGATGAAGGGTCGTCTTTAGGAAGTCTCGTTCTCGAGGATCCTCGGAATCAAACAAGTCGAGAAGTTGTAGGACAAAGCTGTGGTCAATGTAGGCTTTGGCAATGTTGGTGTTGAAATCTTGGCTCTCTATAAAGCGGAGGAAGAACTCATAGACTACCTGAATATGCGGCCAAGCGACCTCCAAGACGGGCTCATCTTCCTCTGGGTCGAACGCCTCGCCCTGTGGGTTCATCGGGGGAGGGATGGGTCGGAACAAGTTCTTGGCGAACATGTCGACGACTCTCGGATACATGGGTTCCGTGATGACTTGCCTGTTGTTGGCAACATAGTCAAGCAACTCGTGTAATGCCAGGCGCTTGATCTCCTTGGCTTTCATGTCTCCGCTGGCATCGTTGAAATCAAAGATGACGTTGCATTGGTCAATCTTTTGCATGAAAAGCTCTTGTCTCCTATTAGGAGGAACTTCGTGGAAGCCCGGTAGTTTTTCCAGTTCCCGGTGAGCCGAGATGTCGAATCGAGACGAGTGCTGGCGTTTGGGGGTTCGCAGACCTTCGGGAATGGCGTCGCGGTTGTCAATGCCTCGATGGATCATCAGTGACTTCTGGCCCGCCTTGGGTGGTGCCAGGTCGTGAGGCATAGTTTCGGCGGCTCCAGGGGGAGGGATATGCTGCCGGGGTGTCAACATCAAAGAGTACCATCAATTGCACCGCGAGCCATCAGAATAATTCTACTTACTCCTGGGGTTGGGCTGATGACAACGGTGGGGGGTAATCTAGCATTGGCATTGCCACCGTTTGGACTCGAAGCACCACCCATGGGGCCAAATCGATCGGGAACATTGCCTTGCTGGCCTGGATTTGACGACTGATTTGGAACTCCATGGTCGCCGTGTCCGGTGGTGCTGGATGGTAAAGGCTTATTGCGGATGTCGTTGAGCGTGGTGGAGGAGGAGGTGGGCGTAAGGACAGGAGACTGGTTCGACGAGTCTCGGGACGAAGGGGACGACGTGCCATCCTTGGAATCCTTATTCTTCTTGGAGGATTTGCTGGCATCCTTGCCTCGCGCGAGCTGTTGGGAGGGGTGAGCAGCGCGTGTTAGCACACTGCGCCATGGCGTATAATTGATACAGATGGAATGGCGACGCCGTGGCCCAAAGCGAAGCCCAACCCAAATCCAAATCCATCACACAGACGCATGAGGATGAGGTCATGGGGCCATGGGGCCATGGGTGGTCAATCAAGGGAGTCGGGCAAGATGACTTACTAGTCCTTTGCCAAAACGCTTCATGTTGGTCGTCGACAGCATCTACCTTCTCGTGTTCGTCGTCGACGATGGGGTTGACGGGAGGCAGACTCGGACGGGAAACGGCAGACGACGGACAGCGGACGGGCTGGCGTTGTTGGCGTTGCTGATGCGGACGCTTGTTGCTGCGAGGTCGAGTCTGCGACTGATTGCTGCGGTGGGGTAGCTTTGGCTTGAGGAACGGGGTCAGTCAGTCAACACAGCCAAGGCCAACGGGGGGGCCAAGGGGGTCAGGTGCAAGTGTGCAAGTCGGCGGGCCCTCTGAGCTGGGCACTAGGGTGCCTGGGTGCCTGGGTGCCTGGGTGCTTCAACCAGGACTGGGTGAGACGGTCGAGCGGGCAACACCAAGTCGAGTTGATTAGCCGAGAGCAATTCTGAGCCGTCAATCGTCGTCGTGTTGTAGGGAACCCGGCGCAATTACACTTGGGCACTGGAGAGAGCCCTTCTGCGCCCGCCTCTATCCTCAGTGATCACAGACTAACCTCAGTACACCGAACTCCAGTTCCCACGGAGGCCAACAAGCCCGCAGATCTCACGTGCAGAGTCGAGGTCGGGATCAAGCGAGGGAAGTGCAAGAGGTGCGAGAAGCCAACGACCGGCTAGTGCGCACAAATATCTCGACTTCACCTCCGCACGGAGTATCAGCCAGCTGCAGGAGACGGACCTGTTGACGGCAGGGGGTTACAGCCCAGATGCTTGAGGCGTCGGCTCCGTCGACTCTGGTCTGTCTGCTTTGGCTTGGGCTTGCTTGGGAGTTGGGCAATTGGATTGGAGGAGAGGTGGAGAGCAACAACAGCCAAATTGGTCCTGGCCATGCAGACGCAAATGAAGGGCTCCAAGGTGCGACATGCAGCACAGCACGGTCGCTGCAACTGGCAGGCCAGGCCTGGACACAAGGCACTTGGGTACCTCGGTACTTGTTCGTTCTAGTTTCTATTATTAAAATCACACCTAAATAATACTCTCGAGCACCCATTCTCCCGCCTCGCTCTGCTTCGTTTTTCACGGGGTGAGGGGTTCAAATGTTACAACCTGGATTGCCTGGGGGGAGGAGACGGCGCCCGAGCTACCAAATGTCTGGTAGTATGTCTCGGCTCTGGACAAAACGTAGCGCAGGGCGATGCTCCCAGTTGGGCGAGAGACGGCATCATCAGTTGAATCATTCTAAACAAGCAAACAGAGTAAAGTCAATAACAGGTAGGTACTCGTTGCTAGCTGCGTTGATCGCCCAATCAACGGGCCGAAACGCGACCAGAGGCACATGGAAATCCTCAATTCCGTGGAGTCGTATCTGTGTATGTGCATGTGGGCGGTACTCGGGCCTTGTTAGCGTGCGAACTCCGTCAACACAGGCCACGGTGCTTCCAGTGGTAGTAATTAGAAACCACCAGCACCGGACTCTTGTTGTGAATTGCTCGGCGGGCTCACTCTTTTTGCTAGATGCGCTCACCCCCCTTAGTAGGTAAGTATTTATTATGTCTAAACTCTTCTTATATATTTTTAAGAGATAATTTATAATAAAAATATATTTACTTATAATAAAATATATAGTAATATATTATAATATAGCCTGATATTTAGGTACCTGGAGGTGCGTGAGCGCACCTAGCAAAAAGAGTGAGCCCGCCGAGCAATTCGTCTCTTGTTGCTTGTTGATCAGGAGACTGGCACCAGACTGAGAGGAATTGTCGTCTGGGTGCTGACAAGGAGCGGCCAAGCGTGCACGGACCATAATCGGCACCAGTCCGGATGTGGAACCTCAACTCACAGCCGTTATTCAACTCCTTCGGAACCACCTCTAATACAACACAATATCGTTCAACAGAAACTAATCACTCACGATACTTGGGAGAAAAGGCACCATTCGCAAATTTGTACGCCCCTTTGATCCGAAATTCTGCCAGCAAGCCAATATCAGCTCGGCGCCAGGGAGCATCGATTGATCCTATTGCATAATCTTCCGCCACCAAGCCCTGCAGTTTCTTCCTCAGTTACGGGCACCATCATCAGACATGACACTTTAATACGCTTGAGCACCATGGAACCACTCTCAGATAACGAGATGGCTGGTCCATCAACAATAAGGTCGCTGTCGGATCACCAACCAGAAGAAGAGGGAGCACCACGGTTTCGCATACCGCCGCGGGACCTGGCCGCTGTGGAAATACCCGCCGTTGTGGAAAACATTGATCGGGCGGTCAAGGCCTTTGGGAGAGTCCCGTCTCTAGAACACGTGAGTTTCATCTAATTTTATTTTCGGCTACAAACTATTTAGTTATTCTAAACACTTTCCATCCAGCTCATGGACCCTTTGAGGAACTCAGTGCCGTTGTATCTGAACCCAGAAAGCCCCTTTTGCAAGCCTATCATGTCTCATAGCGCCGCATCGCACAACGTGGTTCTCAAGCTCACTGTTCCCAAGAGAACGGGCCGCAGACGGAGACGAGGAAGTAACGGCCCGTGGCAGGGAGATGTAAATTTCTCAGATGCGCCTGGAGCCAATGGCAAGGAAAAAGTGCAATCGATTGCGCGACTGGATGAGCCCAAAGTTCTTCGGAGAAAGCTTCAAGACAACGCTGGAAGATATCAAGTCGAAGCGGTTGGTACTATCAAACATACGCATCGGTTCCGTGCTTTAGCCGACTTTTACTGGGATATGAATCGATCAGAGTTTGCTCAGAGATATGCTGAGCAGGTTTTGCCAGGAGATGGTGTGTATCCCCTGCGGAAACCATGCCTATGGTCTTGTACTAATCAACGTACGACTAGTTCAAAAATTGAAAGAGTTCACCCTTCAAAGTGGAACAGATCGTCCCCCCAATGTTGACATCATTCCTCCGCCCATCTTCACGCACATGAGTTTGCCATTCAACTACTTCTACTCGCAGAATCCGTACGTCCGCACGACTGAGGACGGCGGCACAATCAATTTGACTGCAGTCAAGCAGGTAGGGTATTTTATTAGTGCAGAAGACCCGGCTCCAGACGGGCCGCAGGTGCCGCCAGATATGACGGATCCCAGAATGATCGAGGTCCTAGCTCAACTAGAAGACGCCTTCCAACATCGCCCTCTGTGGACTCGTCGGTCTTTGCTCAATCACTTGCGAGGCAAGCTCCAGAGCTGGAACGAATTGAAAAAATATCTCAACTACGCAGCGTATCAGTTCAAAGGCGGCCCATGGAGAGATAGTGTGGTTCCCTACGGCACCGACCCTAGGACCGATCCCAAGTATCGCATCTATCAGACGCTTATGTTCAAGCTTAAGAAGCACAAACGTACGATCAAGCACCAGCCGTGGCAGTCACTTCGCAAGACGCAGATTGGTGAATCACAGAATACACCCAGCATGGAAGCAGACAGTCACATCTTCGACGGAAAGTCATATCACACGGACGGCAAGGTATGGCAGGTCTGTGATATTACCGATTCTCTACTGAAAGAATTACTCGACAACGCGGCCGTACGCCCTCAGTGCGACGTCGTGAATAGTGGCTGGTACCACGGTGGCTTGTGGGCAAAGGTCAAGGCAATAATGAAGACTAAACTGGTAGCTATCCGGTTTGGAAGGCACTTAACAAAGGAAGACTTTGCACAGACATTGGAATTTGGTGATGCAACTCCGATCCGTACTGTGTCAAATACATTCCACCTTCCCTTGCCGAATTTACATCTTACGACAGAGGAGCACACTGTCCTCCACGGGAGGGGGCCATTAAAAAAGAAGAGTACAGGATATAATGTTCGGTTCCGAGACATTGGGAAGAGTCCAAGCGTGGCTCATGAGATATCTCCTGCTCCGTTTATCGATAGCAGTGTAATTGGCACAGATAGAATGGAGTCTGATGATGAAGATTCTGGCAGTGAACGAGATGATGACGATGATGAAGATGACGACGACGATGGATCAGAGAATGAGGAGTACCCTGACACTGGATATTATAACCATATGGAACAGTACGGGGACCACCAGTATGGTGATGGGGATGCTGAAATGGACATGGGCCGTTCGGCGTATCCCGAGTTAGATTAGCATAATCGAGTTCAAAAAGGCTCTTGATTGTAGTTAGGGAATTAAGTATGCACACGTGGCTTCGAAGCATAATGCGTGGCGCAAAATGGGTGCCAGAGTTAAATGACGAGTGGAAGGGGAAGTCGTGGTTTCCTTATCGGCACTAATAATCTATCCACCTGACCACGAGATCACTTACTTTCCTCTCCTCCTTCTTTCTCCCGTCGTCTCTTCTCCAACACCTTCGCCGGATACGTCAATCAACTCTACAGCTTGCCAGCTCTCAACAGTCTCATCATGTCCATCATCCGCGAAGATGGCCGTTGGTACTGCAAGCCTTGCAACCGCGTTTTTGCCACCTGGGAGGCCATCTTCAAGCATAAGGAGTATATGCGTGGTACTGGTGCCGAAAGCCATATTCACTGCAAGTTTTGTGGGCAAGATTTCAAAACTCAAGCGGCAGAAATCTCGCACATCATCCAGGTTTGCCATCCACCTTCATACCCCATGCCATCACTACCAGTAACTGACACACATTGTCCAGAACCATCCCAAACGACAAAAGCTCGACTGTCCTGGCTGTGGCCAAGGCCCGTTTCCCCGTCTGGCAAGTCTCATATGGCACATTGAGAGAGGTGAATGTATTCGTATCGATGAGGCGGTTCTTGATGAAATGCGAGAGAAGAAACTTGAATTTCCGAGGCAGCTCGAGACACTTACCAAGGAATCTGTGAAGAATAACTACACCAGTTACGTGTCTCCTAAGCAAGGCGGGAGCCCGAGACATATCTGGCGAGATGTACGCGATCAGGGGTTTAGCTTCACAGAGATGGGATTTCCAGAGCTTTCGAACGAGGCCAGGCATACCACAGGCGAGACCCCAAAGAGTGATAAAGATGAATTTCATCAGAGTGAAGCAAAGGCGGCATGGGGGGGGGGGAAAGACTTGTTTCCTGGTGCCCCTCCTGCGCAGATGCCAACAAGATCTCAGCTTGACACTGCTACGACACCGAGTCCCCGAATGATTTTTGAGTCTATGGATGCTGATGACCCCGATAACCCGGCCTTTAATGCGTCGCGATACTATTCCGATATCATTGAGCAGTACATTTGTCCCAAGGTTAGATGCGGGTGAGTAAATGTCGTTTCAGGTGATTCGTCTAATTTTTGGACAAGTTCTCACTTTGTCTAGAAAATGCTTCAAAAGACAGGGTCAGTTGGTTTCTCATCTTCGATCACCTGCCCATGGCAACAGGACCTATCGCTGCCCATATTGTCAGAAAGTCTTTAAGACGTTGACTGCAATTACCTCCCACGTTGAGTCGAGCTCGGTGAAGTGTCAAATCCGTGAAGCCGATAATTACGAGGCATACTTGGATCAGTTGACTGCGGGTATCATTGACGTTGAGGAGAGGCGAAATGAGGACGGGACCTTGCAGTACAAGACTGCAGAAAGTGCTCGGGCTGCGTTTCGCGGGCCGAAGGACACTTCAAAGGATCACGGACAGGTGCATTGGTAAAAATGGATTGCCGAGATGTTTTGGTTCATGGGCACACGATGTTGTAATACATTATATATTGATGGATTGAAAAGGTCATCTTGCATTGACAGCAGATCCAGGAGGGACTCGAGAGGGATGACAGACTGAGGACACTTGCTCGGGATTAAATAATGTTTGCTATCACGGTACGAATACATTGCACCCTAGAGATGTGCAGGGTAGCCTATGATGACAAAGCCCAGACGCCTATGGACGCCGTGACCACAAGCCGAATGGACCGCGCGGATCCATGCTTCAAACTCCCCCTGCTGGCTTGCCAGCCATCGTGTCTCTTGCTTTGCCTTTGTGCACAAGTGACCACACAAACCACGACCAGCATCAGCATCAGCACCAATGGCGCCAACGTCATCCCGGAAACTCTAGCCTAGCAACTCTGAATCCTCCCTTTTCTTACACCCCATCACGATATTCCCGTCACCTCGGATGACAACGAGCCGCTAATTGCCCGAGTTCAAGAGACTAGCATCGTTGTTGGCAAAGCTTGAGCCTTGCACCAGTCACTCACATCTGCCACATTGGACGGCCACGAGCTCGACGGGGAGCCGTCGTACCAGGGCACCACGATGCCCCGGCGGTGCGCGCGTACGATTGAGCGTGCGTGCTGTGCAATAGCCACGTACATACCGCTGATATTTGTCTACGGACTGACGACATGGGCGATATGGATGGTGATTGAGATAGGCTCAGTTGCGCCCAAGGGGAGCTGGTTAGGTACGGCATAACCCCCGCGGTTCTGTGTGACCCTCCGAGAAGTAGGAGTAAACAGTGGTGTCTGACGCTTACGTTTCCAGGAACCGCATCATCTACAGTCGGCGTCGTCATATACCTGCTATTAAACTGGTCCTACACCACGGCCGTCTTTACCGATCCCGGGTCGACAACCAACCGCGACGGCTACGGCCTCTTGCCGACGACGACACAGAACCATTACCCCCCGGCGACATCCGTCACCGTCAAAAGCAACGGCGAGATTCGCTTCTGCAAAAAGTGCCAGGCGCGGAAGCCGGACCGCGCACACCACTGCTCCACGTGCCGTCGGTGTGTACTCAAGATGGACCACCACTGTCCGTGGCTGGCGACCTGTCTGGGTTTGCGGAACTACAAGGCCTTTTTGCTATTTCTCATATACACGACGATTCTGTGCGTTTACGCATTCGCCGTGAGCGGCACATGGGTGTGGTCGGAGGTAATCGAAGAAGACGTGGAGAAGCTGGACGCACTACTGCCCGTCAATTTCATAGTTTTGAGCGTCCTCAGCGGCATCATCGGCATCGTGATGGGCGTCTTCACAGGATGGCACGTAATGCTCGCACTCAAGGGGCAGACGACGATTGAATGCCTCGAAAAGACGCGGTACCTGTCGCCGCTGAAGCAGCCTTACCGCGCGGCGCACAATCCCGCGAACCGGCTCCCGCAGGCGGCGCAGCAGTTCGTGGACTTTCACACAAACGCCCTACCGGGGATTACAAGGCCCGAGGAAGGCGAGGAGCGCAGACCGAGCAACGACTTCAACTACAGCCCGGCGGCAGCGTGGCGAGCACCAGGACCGCGAGACAGCCCTCAACCGGTGCAGCTGTCGTACGAGGAACACGAGAGGCTGCAGTCCCGGCGGCGGTATGAAGAGTACCTCGACGAGCAAGATTCGACAAAGCTCCCGAGCGCGTTTGATCTCGGGTGGAAGAAGAACCTACGGCACCTGCTAGGGCCAAATCGTTGGCTTTGGGCCATCCCGATATGCAACACGACGGGCGACGGCTGGTCGTGGGAAGCGAGCCCCAAGTGGCTCGAAGCACGAGACCGCATCAAGCGCGAGCGCGAGGAGCAGCGCGCAAGAGAAATCAGCGCGGGCTGGGGCGGCCAGGACGACGACATGGGATACCCGTCAAATCCAAATCAGTATACGCCAACAAGTGCCGCGGACGGGAACGCACCAAGAAGAGTACTGAGTAAAGCAGACCGCGTGCTGGGGCGTGATCCCAACCTGTACGCCGACGGCTCGCAGGGCATGCGCATGCAGCGCCTCTCAACGCGCGGCAAGTCGCTCGAGGACGAACTGCTGGACACAGATAACGACGAGGACGAGGGCGCCGGCAGTCCCAAGGCGAATAGCAGAGACAAGGCCGAGCGGCGAGCATTGGACGTCGTCACCAACGGCAAGGCATGGACGCGAGGCGGCGCAAGTGGCATGCTGCGAAATGCCACGCACAGCGGCTCTCCTGGAGACGCGAGTCCCCTCGACGACCAAGGTGTAGACTAGATGTGGATGTAGATGTAGATAGATGTACTAGAGCGCTGCATGTGTGCTAGTTTGGGTAGTGTAACCAATGGATTGCTCACCACATGCCGACTGCCCCTTTGCGTGTGCGATGCTTGCCATGCCCAAAAGCAACCAACTAACTTACCTACCTGGGACACCACCAACCATGTCAGGATCGAACCCTCGGGCCCCTGCCCAGGAGGATCGCCTGCGGCATAAAAAAGAAAGGAGCGGCAAAAAAGGAAAGAACGGGAGTAGTTCCGGAACGCCGCATTCCACGAAGCCGTCGCCTCTACGACACGCCCACACATGTACTAGTACGGAGTACTACGTAACTTACTGTACCTCTGTCGTCCCAACTCCCTCCGCCGTGGGCCTCCCCCAACGTGGCAAGGCAAGGATGGTCCCTACATGCATCAAGCCTCTGGAAACTTGCATGCACACACACCCATTCCACCAGCACATCCTACATCCACGGAAAAAAAAAAAAAGGAAGAAGCCGCCTGAAAAGGCCAAAACCAAGTGCGCCATTTTTGCGATTTCCCCAGATTTTCCCCCTTTCCGACTCCACCGCTGTGTCTCCTCCCCCCTCACGCCAGGATGCCATGCCATATGCCAAGTGCGGTTTTAGCACAGAGTACTCCGTACTAGTACGTATTGATCGCTTTTTCTCTTCTCTTCTCTTTTTTTTTGTGGGTGAAAGGGGGTGGCCCACGTCGAGCCCACGTCGAGCCCACGTCGGCCCCTTCCTACCCCACAAATCATAAAAAAGCCTCCCTGCAGGAACCGCACTAGTCGATCCCGACGCTCAGGAACCAGTGGCGAGGGCCATGTAACTTGTCCCTTCTCTTTCTTGTTTCAAGTCCGACGACGGATGCTTGTTCGCGGAGGTGACGGAGGTGACGGATGGCATGGGGGGGCGGGGGGCGTACGTGCACATTGACCATACAACAATACCTGGTAACCTAGGGTTTATCAAGCATAGAGTTGTTCCGCATGTACATACATGCAGCCCGTCACTCAGATTCAAGTGCCCCTGATCGGTCGTCGGCGTATTGTACTGCATCCTACATTTACCGAGTGCTCGGTGGACTGACGCCGGGACATCTGGACATGGAGGCTCCCATGCTCCTTGGCTGCTGCAACATTGTCACTGCAGACAGCATCATCACTGGCTGCCCATCAGACTCTCGACTCCCTCTGGCACCACCACGCCACCGACATTTGATGCCATACGCCGGCAGGACCCAACTTACGACTCCCGCACATCAGCAGCCACAACTTGTTTTGTCTCATCATTTGTACGCCAATGGTCAATTCACTACCTAGCATCCACTATCCACTATCCACCTCCAGCTCCCTTCCCTGGAGTGCAGCCCGAGCCAAATATCTATCAAGTCATACTATAATATCCCTGTACGTCCTCAAACGCCGTCCATCATGATTTCATTCATCCCATGCCTTGCCTTGCCGCCATTCGTCATCCAGTATCCATCATCCCTGCTCGTCTGCGCTGCCAGTCCTTATTTCGCTGGAAACATTTGGTTGTGAGAATGAACAATACCACCCTGCAACCATGGCGAGACAAGCCAACAGGGCATGGCCAGATCCAAACTAGAATCAGAAGACGACGACAGGCCGAATGGTGATATGATAATGGTAAACAAAAAAATGCCTTTGGTTCCCGTGCCAGACCTGTCTATGAAGAATGCTTTGTGCCATATTCCGCATTTCGATGCAATGACTCCCCAAATGAACTAAACGAAAGGCTTTTTTTAAAACAGCTGTATGCAAAATGTCACCAACCCTGCTGCTCTCAAAAACCAACATGCCCATCATCAAAATCAAAATTTGTGCATTCAAATCTCCGTAGTGAGGGGTATTTTTTGTTTGGGACGCTCCCAACGTCAAATTTTAGACGCTCCAAAAAGGTAATAAGACAAAAGAAAAGAAAGGGAAAAAAAAAACAAGCCGGCTAGACGTGGTATTGTTAAAAAAAGAAGAAGATATGGCTCTCCCAGAGCTCAAGAGAAAAGAGACCAATCTTAGAAGATACATAAATTGTACAAAAAAAATGTATAGGGGGGATCAATAATAATGGCCAAGGAAAAGCCAGCCCCGCCATCAGGAATGGAAGAAAATAGAAAAGTTGGAAAGACCCCCGGGTCGTATGAATTCCGCCTCCATTGCACCTGCATCTTGGCAGATCCCCGGTTATCAGGGGCAACTAGAGAAGAAATAAAGTTAAACGTATCATAAACAGTGTGGCATACGCCCTGCCTTCTAGGCAAAGCTATCAAAACTGTTCTTTTCCATGCTGCTCTTCTCAAATGTGCTGCGAGGACTCGTGCTGGTCCGGCCAAACACCTTGCCTCCGAAGCGGTTGAGCTTGCCGCCGTCCTGTACTGGAGCAGCAATATCGAAGAGCTTTGTTTGAATGGGTTCAACATTTATCCTGCAGAATAGTGTCGAGAACAAGTATTGATCACCTGCATGGTTGTGAAGCGGTATGGTGCGGTATCCCCCTTTGAGGTTGTTGAGTTTTGCAGTGTATGTGGCAATGGCCGAGCCTTCTTTGCTATTGTAGCTCTCTCCGTAGCTAGCTAGCTTGACAGACCAGCGTACAAAGATCAGCTCTGGGTGCTTGGTCGTTACGGTAAATTTGAACTGGCCATCAGCAAACATGGGATTGAAGCCGTTC